GCAGTCCCAGGGCTTGGCTCAGAGCAGGTTTATTGCAGGAGGGTAAAAACAGGGTGGGGGAGCAGAAATTATGTTCCTCTGGCTCGTTTAATTCAGCATTAATGGCATCTCTCCCTGCCGAGCCACTGATCCTTTCCTAAAAGGAGTTGTGTCCCCACTTGAAGCTCACCCAGGGGTGTTTCTAAGCCTTGAAAACAGCTTGGAGATACCAAGCGCAGGGAAAAGAGGTGCTGGGGGTGGGGGTGGGGGGTGGTGTTCCCTGCTTCTCGCTCCTGCAAGCTCCGGGTAACGCTGCCAAGGGTCCCGCAGGGGTCTCAGCTTCCCCCACATCTCACCTCTCCCCCAGCGAAACGGAGGGAACCAACCCTAGAGCCTGGCCTGTGTTTGGGAAGGAGCATCCAAAGGGAGCGCAGTGTCTTGGGGCACACAGTCCAATTTGGGAGCACCCAATGTTTGGAGCAACGCAATGGGCAGGTTCCATAGGGAGGAAAAAAAAGCGGAGGATCAAAGAGGGCACGAAAGGCAAAGACAAGGAGAGCACCCAAAACCCATCCAAAAACAAGGGCAAAACTGTTCACTTCCATGGGTTAGTCACAATGAAAACATTGGGATTTCATAATTTCTTCCAGCTCAAGAAAAATACCCAGTGAGGGCAGCGAAAGCCCTGGCCGGGTCAGTGCATGCCGGAGCCAAAGGGGACCCACAACCCCTCCACTGGCCCCACGGGTGATTCTCCTGGTTTACTGGGGACAGGAGCAGCATGGGACTGGGGGGCCAGGTGAGACTTCCCAAATAAATACCCCCCCATCTGGGGTTTCCAGCCTGGGCAAGGAAGCGGAGCTGCTGTGGGAAAGATGCACCGTGGGTGGAGCAGCGATGCACACATCCAAGTTTTATCGCTTGGCGGTGAGCGGATGGGGCTCGGCACCAAAGCCCATGGCGTTTTCTGGAGCTTGGCCTCAGGGTTTGGTCTAGGCTGATAATTTCACTCTTCTCTCTTGTTTAGTTTAGAGATGGGGAAGGGGGACTTTGCTCTGGTCAAGGTGAAAGATGGAAGAAAGACCCCGAGAGCTGCTGCTCCGCATGGGAAGATGTAAATTTGGGGAACCTCTGGGAATGATGCTCTGGACATCTGGGCTCCCCTGCCAGCGGTGTCCTTGTCCTTTACACCATCCTGGCTGAGTACGTGACTTGGACATCCAGCCTGACTTTCTGGGCTCAACACCACCAGGGGCACCAGCCAGGGTATTAAAACATGGGAATTGCCGTGGGTTTGAGCATCAAGAGCATGTTTTCCTCAGCACTGCTGCCCAATGGCATGATACCCCCTGGAGAAGGGCTTTTACTGGTGAGGGTTCCAGCTCTGATACACAAAGCCAAATCAGAAACAGTGCGTTATTTCACCAAGAAACAGCCCAAAGACACCGTTTGCCAAGGTATTGAGCCTGGTGGGTAGGAGAGATCCCTCCCTCTGCTTTAAACAAGGACTTTTAGGAGGGGGACGGGGTGACCCAGTTTATCCCCACGAGGGACAGCAATTATTGTCCCTCTTGGCAGGCTCGGCAGAGCGGCTGGGGCTGGGTGAGCAGGCGGAATGAGCCGCTGGTTTATCCCCAGTGACTGCTGAGCTTTGGTCCTCTGCCTTTTGCTGCAAAGATTTGGGGGAATTTAGGGCGATACCCTGCGATAAGTGGTGCCCAGGGTCCATCTGTAGCATGGAGCTGGAGGCGGCACTGCACCGCACGCAGCCCCAATGCTGTTTCTTTAAGAAGGATGAAAACTGTGAGCTTCAGAACTGCTTGACTTGTGAACTTTGGGTAAGAAGAGAAGCCGTTCCAGAGGTGAGCTCATTTCTAACCCCGGGAAATGACTTCATGGACGCTGGTATTTACTCACAAAAACATCGCATGTCAGATGTCCCTGACTAGACTTTCTGTTTCGAGTCCAGTATGAGACAAAAATTTCCTTGGACGAGCTGCTCCTGAGACAATTCAAGGCTTGGAGGAGGAGAAGAATATTGGAAGAAAAAAAAAAAAAGCATTAAGAACTCTGAAATCATGAGGTTTTTCTTAGTAAAGAGGAATTTTTGGACAGCCAGCCCCGCAGAAGCACCTGCCTGGGGTGATGGTGCTGGGGTGAGGGTGCGAATGATGGGTGCTGCTGTAGGATGGCTCTGCTTGAAGAAGAGCCATCGTCACCCCCCTGTAATGCCCAGCAGCAGGAGTTTCTCTTGGAGGTGAAAAGACAGGTTTTTCTCTCTTTTGTGAAGCCAAGACCCCGGCAGTGATTTTTTAGGATAAACGGCAGCAGGTTCCCTGCCCCGCGTTTGCATTAGCTTCATGGAAATTACATCCCGTGCCACTTCCCCTGCATGAGATCCCGGTTTACACGGGATGACCGATGGAAAAACACAGCGCTTGTGCTGCTGCTGTTCAAGGTCTGCTCGTGCAAAAAATTGCCACCGGGGCTGTGCTACCTGTTGGGGCTTGCTTGTTTCTGTTTCCTCTGGCATCCTGGGATGATCTGTATGGATTTGGGGAGAAAAGTCCTATTTGGGGAGCCTGGAGATGCTCTGACTCCCCGTGACCCAGTGCTGGGCTGCAGATCCAGGGATGTACTGGGGCAGCATCCCAAAAGGAGGGGATTTCGGAAAGAGCCGAGCCAGGGTGTATGGAAACAAGCCCTGCCTGCCAGTACTGTTTCCTAATCCTGGGGACCAAAAACCTCTGATGGTTAAACCAGTGTTCAGAGATTCAGCTGAAGGCTGCTGAGCAGACAACGTCCAAGCTGACCTTTGAGGAGACAAGCAAAAAAAAAAAAAAAAATAAAGAGAAAACACAACTGTGCAAACGGCGGAGAAAAATAGTCATTTTAATAAGGGACCCCACCCTTAAAATAAGACTTGTTGCTAATGAATGCCCAGGACATTTCTGTGTGATGGCATGCTAAAAAAATCCTCTCTGAAGAGGGACCAAGGGCTTTGTTGTGGCATGAGTGGAGCTTACAGTTCTTAAGAAAAATCCTGTCCCTCTCTTGCATCATACAGTCGGGGATGGAGAGGACATTTCTAGACAAAAAGGCAGCCAGCCGGGAGGGAGGACAAACAGGGAATACATTCCTGACTCGCTATTTAATTGCTTTAGTGCAGGTGCAAAGAGCTAAATGAAAGGAAAAATAGGGATGAATGTGCGGGGCCAAATTAATCTCGACTTTAAGCAGGAGTCTAACGCAAGAAGGAGGCATCTGCTGTAATAGATGGGCTCCCACCCAACTTCTTTGTGGTTTCTGTGTTGTTTCTTTTTCCCCAGGGACCAGGCTCCTTGCCACTGCACGGGCGGGCAATGCCCCAGCCAGGTACGGAGGTGGTGGGGACGGTCCCCTCCGGAGTGGCAGGGGTGGCCGGTGCTCGCTGGGCGCCTCTCCCTCCACCTCTGCCTGCCATGGCTTTGGGGTTTCAGCCAGGCTCCGGCAGGACCAGGGGGCTGGTGTCCCCCTCCGGGGGGATAACGTTGATGCCAGCGCTGTGGCTGTTAAGCAGCTTTGAAGCCGGGCCTTGGCAGGAGAACGTGCCTTTGCTCTCAGCTCTTGAGACCCCCTTTTGGGTGGAGGGCTGGCAGCGCCAGGGCTGGGTCTGCTTTTCTCTTTCCCCTCGGATGCAAAGCACTTTGAAGGCATAAATTGCCCTCTGTGGCTCCGAGCAGAGAGTTTCCAGCCTGATCCCTTTCAGCAGTTAAATGCAGAAGTGACGGAGGGTTTGGGGGACCCCAATGATACCTCAAGGGCTGATGCAGTCCAGCATCTGCCACACAGTCTGACTCTTAAACCCACAAAGAGGAAAAAAAAATCCTTTTTCACTGTGCCCAGGAGCGCTCCTGCAAGCAGAGCAGCCTCCAGGCTGGTGCATCTTCCCCCCCCCTGCCCTGTTCAGAGCTCAGGCATTTCCTCCTGAAAATAAACGGGAATAGGTTTAACGATGGAAAACCTCCTATCCCACAAAGCAAACCTCTTGGGGAACAACGTAGAGCCACCACCACCAGCCTGGGACCCGCCGTCCCTCAGTACACCGTGTGTGTCTTAATTTAATGGACTGGGAGATGCAAAGGTCTGTCTGCATGTAATTAAAGCCCCCGCGATGCCCCCAGGAGTGTGCGTGCCGGCCCTGGCCCCAGTGGGGATCGAGGCTGGCCCTCTGTCATCCCCACATCCCCGCTTTTGCTGGTCAGCAGAGCAGGGTGTCCTTGGTTTCCCTCCCTGGCCTTGCGTCGCGCACCCTATTTTTTAAGCCCTTGTGAGCTCTTTGTCCCTCCCAGGGTTTTGCACCGCACATCGAAGCTCTCACTGCGTTACACCGAAAGAAATACAGAAAGAACAAGGTGGGGAACTGCTAGAGCGCAAAGGAAAGAGTATATTCATTAAAAGGGCAAAATGACCCATGTTTCTCCTTATTAATTCCCTCCTTACAGCATTTCCAGGCCAGGCACGTACCTGCCTTCATCCGTGATGCTCCCCCAGACCTGTGTGGTCCAGGAGCATCACTGGGGCACACGTGTGTGCCTGTGTGTGCTGCCAGTCTCCCGGTTGTCTGAGCAACGGGACGTTCATCACTAACTCCAGGGATAATTAACTCATTTTCCTGTATTTATAGAAAACTGATGCAGGGAGTGCTGGCACTTATCCCTGATGGGGCCACATTTGCCACAATACCTTGAATTTTGGCCATTTCTTGCAATACGGCGGCTTTGTCATCATCCCCGCTGCCTGCTCATTAAGCCTGAAACCGGGCAGCTCGTTAAGCCCGCAAGGGCAGGGGTACTGGCCCTTGCCTGGGGGTGCAGCACTGGCCCCTGCCTGGGGGGGCTGCCCGTGGGTGCCCACCTCCGCCTGCCCCGCTCCTGGTTTGCCAGCGCAGGGGATGTTTGCATCAGCGCTGCCATCTCCAGATGCCTGCATACGCCGGTGCTAAAAACAGCGGAGCTCCCAGCTTGACTGCCGGCAGGAGGAAATTTTTCTGCTTCAAGGGGTTTCTTGCAGGGATGTGATGCAAAGAGGCGCTGGAGCATCCTGACTCAGCACCGCGGCGGTAGGAGACCCGTGGAGCAAAACAAGGAGCATCTTCTCTTGGCATCAGGGCATGCGTATGCCAGGTACGTTCCCATCAGCCGGGACAAATCCAGACCTTGACGTGGGGTTCCTCTTGTTTCTTCCGGACAACCAGCGAGCAGCTTGGTACTTTTTCTTTTCGCTGCTTGCTTGTTGGGTTGGATTTTGGGGAGGGAGAGGGGTGAAGGGGCTGGGGGCGTGGGTGGTGGGGCTGGAGGAGGGCGGCTTGCTGCAAGGTGTCGGCGTCTCCATCCCACAGAGCTGGGGAGACAAATTCGATCTCTGCTGCGCGTGCTATTTGTGCAAAGGTGAGGAGTGCTTTATTTTGGTATCAGCAAAGCAGATGGTGCTTGAAACAGTAAGAGACATACCCTACCTGCGGCCGGGACTGTTAGCAGCTCGTGACCCCGAGAGTTGGAAGTATTTGCCCTTGAAATGTGAGTTGTCCCCAAGCTGGGTGTGCCTGGGCAAAAAGGGCAATTAAATCTAAGCCATGGGGGACCGCCATGCTGCTCACCATCCCCTAGCCACCCCCGTATCGGGGTGTTCCCACCTTCACCTCCTCCTCCTCCTGCTTCCCCTCCCAAAGGCAAAGGGAGAGAGGCGCTGAGCTGGTGCTGCCCAGGTCCTGGGAAGGTCCAGGCTCCTAAATGCCACTGTGGTCCTCTCCCAGGAGCCACTGTCAGTTCCCAGACAGCGTGGGATCCCCCTTCTCCCCTCCTGGCCACCCCCAGGTGCTCCCACCTATAGCCCCGGGTCTGGCGCTAGGCATGGAGGTGGACCACTGAGGTTTAATACACTAATGGAAAGTGCTGCGGGGTTTCTAAAAAGCTGAGCTCTGCTTGCAAAGCCCCCTTGGAAGGATGAGTCCTTGAACCAAGCCCGGCTGCCCTGGCACAGGCTCAGCCAGCTCTGGTGTGACCCATTCCCGGCTGGGTGCTGGCGGGCAGCGGCTCGTCCCGTGGTCCTGGCCACCACTCCCGCTCCCCAGCTGCTCAGCCGCCTCGCAAACAGCTAAAAATATATGTCTGTGTGAGCGATCGCTACAGCCACAGCAGGGGTTAGCCAAAGAGGACAGCCAGGCAGTGTCACCGTGACCAGAAGCTGCGGCGGCTCGGCAAAATGGGCAACACGGAGGGGACGGGCAAGGACAGGCCGGGACTGGCAGGTTGCTGCTGGTGCCTCTGGTGCAAATCCCACCATCTCCCCATTTCTCCTCATATCGAAGCTGCAGCACACGGCACAGCCCCTCGGAGGGGGGTCACTTTGCTGCTTGCCTTTCAGCAGGGGATGAGTGACGAGCAGCTCCCCGCAGCTCCCTGCCGCCCCGCTGCAGAGGGGGACGCCAACATCTCAGCCTCCGGCTGCCCTGAGCACTGGGTCGAGCCCCAGTTCACGCAAGCGGCAAGGGTCCGCGTGATCGTCACGGCCGTCTTCTTCTTGCTGGCGGCGGGCAGCAACGCGGCGGTGCTCAGCAGCCTGCTGAGGAAGAGGAGGAAATCCCATGTGCGGCCGCTGATCCTCAGCCTGGCGCTGGCCGACCTGCTGGTGACGGTGGCGGTGATGCCCCTGGATGCCGCGTGGAACGTGACGGTGCAGTGGTACGGAGGAGACATCGCCTGCAAGCTCCTCAACTTCCTCAAGCTCTTTGCCATGTACGCGGCTGCCCTGGTGCTGGTGGTCATCAGCCTGGACCGGCATGCGGCCGTCCTCCATCCCTTCTCCCGTGCTCGCCGCCGCAACGGGCTGCTGCTCCGTGCCGCCTGGGCCAGCAGCGTGATCCTGGCTTTGCCCCAGGTAGGGCTCGGTGCCCTCCCCATGTGGATTGCCCAGGGTGGGGTGGGTTTGGAGAAGGGCTTCCCCATCCCGGCAGCCCCAACAAGTCCATCCCAATCTACGGGCTCCACCACCACCAGATTGGCCTTGCTTGAGCGAAGCGGTGTGGTTGCTCTGTTGGGTGCTCAGTGCTGCTCTGCACCTTCCTTATAGCACCCGCTCACTGCAACGCCATCAGGGTGTTATGCTAAGGGCTAGGAAAAAATGGTGTCCACTATTCTTTATTTCTCACGTACATGGTTACCTTCTCCTAAAAATACATCACTGCAAAACATGTTGGAGCAGACCAAGACAAACCCAAGACATTCCTAACCAAAACAACATTCGGTTTGGCCAGAAAGTGGGATTTCACAGCTGTCAGACCCCATCCATCCTGGCCATAGCCATGAGTTAGGTGCCCAGAGCAACTGTCCCCGTCCGACAGCGGCAGGGAGGTGCTCTCCAGACACAGCCAGGAGCATCTGCAGGATGTGGTGCCCTGTTCCAAAGCCTCTCTGAGTTATTATTTGGTTCTCCATTTCAGCTTTTCCTCTTCCACCTGCACACGGTCCCGGGAGGGAACTTCACCCAGTGTGTTACTCACGGGAGCTTCCGAGCACACTGGGAGGAAACCGTCTACAACATGTTCACCTTCACCACGCTCTACATCACCCCCCTGAGCGTCATGATCATTTGCTACATCCGGATCGTTTGGGAGATCAGTAAGCAGCTAAAGATCAATAAAGGTAAGCAGGTCCCAGCCCTCTAGTGTCCACCGTGGTTCTATGGCTGAACCTGCCCCAGCCTGGAGCGCTGTTGGGTCTGTCCCAATATCCTTTGAAGGGTAACCCAACTAATTCTTGACCCCCCTCCTTGCTGTCTTCTGCCTCCTGTGGATCATGGACCAGACCATGAGATAGTCTCCCCTCTCTGGCAGAAGCACAGTCATGGATGGTTATGTTCTCCTGGTTTTCTCCCATTTCCAGCTATCCTTTTGATTCTCCCTGGCAGGTTTGATAAGAAATCAAAACGACCACATCTCCAAGGCACGCATGAAGACTCTCAAGATGACCATAGTGATTGTTGCCACCTTCATCATCTGCTGGACCCCATACTACCTCCTGGGCTTGTGGTATTGGTTCCAGCCAGCCATGATCCAGAAGATGCCAGAGTATGTCAACCACAGCTTCTTTCTCTTTGGCTTGCTGCACACCTTCACTGACCCTGTCATTTACGGACTGTACACCCCCTCCTTTCGGGAGGACGTGCAGTTGTGTCTCAGGGGCATTGAAACAGCCATTACCAGGCACGAGAGACACAAACCCGTCTCCGTCTCAGAGAAGAACATCAAGGATGGTGCTGTAAATGGTGGGGTGGCATCAGGGGGCTCCAATGGGACAACTGTCAACACGGTCTGCTGAAGAGACATGCCCACAAGGAGGTGGGAGGCACAGCTTTGGGGGATGCTTTGTCCCATAGGATCATTCTGAATACTGTCATGAGGAGGTTTGCCACCCAACTTTGGTGGGTGAGGGTCTCTGGCTAGCAAATGGGAATGTGTCTCCTGCCTGTACTCAGGGTGAGAAACATTTGAGGGTATTATGGTCATTCTTCCATACTCTGGCAGCCCTGTGACAACTAGAAAACCATCCTTTTCGTACCCTATGCATGCTCTAGCCCTGATTCTGGGATCAAATATCTGCCACACTTCTAGCATGGACCCCTGGGAGGAGACACAGTGACTCCTCCATGGCCCAGGGCCACCTCTCCCAGGGTGGCTAATCTATAAGTGCCTCTTGCACCTACACCGACGTGCAGAGCTACAGAGATGCACAGTGCTATGTGGTGTCACCCTGAGAGGCTGCCAAGGTGCGATCACAGCCTTCTCCATTTTCTCCACCTGCTGTAGGAAAGGCGCTCTGGAAATTTCAGCTCTCCTGCCTCAGAGCCTACCTGGTTCTCCCATGGCCATGTATGAAGCCCTGAGAAGGATGCAAATCTTTGGAGAGTGACTAATACAAGGACATAAGGGCCTCCTGGGCCACCTCCATGCTGTGGGGGGAGAAGGTGCAGGGATGGAGGGGCTCGGGCAAGAGAGAACTGCAGTGGGATGGGATGGGATGGGATGGGATGGGATGTCCAGCCCATCTTGACTGTCTCTGTCCCCATGTCCCAGGGCATGAGCTGGCAGGTCTCGGACCACGGGCTGGGCTGTCCCCAGCAGCTAGCACGGGCTGGTAGGAGCAAATCCCCCATTTTCTCCTCTCTGTTTCCTCCTCTCTTGTTTATACAATTTGCTTTACCTTAATGGGCTTGACCCAAAGCCAGCACCTCATCTCTGCCCCGGGCAGGGTGGGTGCAGCCATTCCACAGGTGATGCCTGGGCTGTCCCAACGAGGAAGGTGATAAAAAGCACCTGTGGGTGAAGGGGCTCATCAGCACCTACCTGGCACCCATGGGTGCTGATGGTCTTTGGCTGCACTGTGAGGGCAAGGGAGGCTGCTGGAGGGGATCAGCAGAGCTGCGGTGAGTAAAATGGATTTTTTTGCTTTTCACCAGCGTGCTAGAAGTTGTTTGTGAAGGTGGAAGCCTCTTCTCTGGATGTGGGTTGAAGAAAGAGGTGGCTTTATTCAATTGTGTTGTTCCCTTTCATGCAATTAGGAATAGTAAATTATTTATTTGTGCTTTGCATGCTGATTGTTGTTAAATGCATTTTTTGATTTTGATGAGAAATTTAGTTTTGAGCCGGTTTTTTTTTTTAGTTTTGTGAAATCTTTGGGCAGCTCAGGAGCTCTGGACTTGGCAGAAGGCAGCTCCCTGGGCATTTCTGTGGCTGCCGTAGCTGGACTTTATCAGGATGAAAGAGCTTTGTTTTAAAAACAATCCTTGACTTGCCACGGCTGTGTGCGTAGGGAAGCTGGGAGATGTCTCCCTGCAAGAAAGCCAATCTCCTTTGGGTGCTGAGGGGTTCTGCTCAACCCTCTTTCCAAGAGGTGATGGATCTCCACTGGTCGGAAAGGATCTGGACTGGTCTCCCAGTGTCCCAGCTAACAAATTATTAAAATTAGAGAGGTGGCAAGTGGTGTTTGCAGGTTGGTTGCTGCTGGGCAGTGAGAATATGGGAAGCCATAGTGCTCAGGGTGATGCCAAGCCGTGGACGGGTGTCGAGCACTTGCCTTTCCCCATGCTAGCTATCATTTATGCTAAATGTGCTGCCCAAGGAGCAAAAAATTCAATTAGAGCTGCAGGAGCCCAGACAGGCTGGTGGGGATTAGTGTGAGCCCGTTAGGAAGCATCCAAACTCCAATGAGATGCGTAATCACCATTTGGATTTCCTGGGCTTGTTCTGCTCAAGGCTAATTACACCACGCTAACGGGAGCGGGGCTCGCTGCTGCCGGGCTGGCCCGGCTCAACCAGTGGAAATAAGAGTTTCTTGTAAGGGGATGGGAATGACTTGTGGTAGGGGAAGCTCATTCATTCATTTGGTCTCACTGTTTGTGTTACTGATGATGGCTTATGGGAGGCAGACCTTGAAGGTGTGTTGGGTTTCTGGCAAGCCTCAAATAAGCAGGAAAGTGTCTTTAATCTCCTAAGAACATTCTTCATCTGCTTTCTGCTGACTGGGAGAGAACAGGTCCAGCATTGCTCACGTACTTTAGGCCACTTGTCCCTTCTTGTGCAGCAGCAGGAGAGCTCAGAGACCTTCTCTGAGGAGCAAGAAGCGCTTTTTCCCCTTGTGGGAGGGACCCACTGCCTTTACACCCCATGGGTACTGTGAGAGGGCAGAAGCAGGTTTGGCTTTAGATGAAGAGTAGGAAAATCAGGATGCTGGTGAAAATGTATACCTTGGTCCTTGGGGGAAGCACGGCACATCCCTTGGGATGCTCACAGGCACTCCAGCGCTGCTCCCTCTGCTCTGCCTCTTGATATCTCCCCTCCCATTGCTGGTGCTCAGGGCTGACATTTTGGGAAGCCCAGAGCGTGGGCAAGGTGCCCAAAGTGACAGCTTTCATGATAGAAGGAAAATGTCACCAGAAGAGCGAGCTGCCAAGCCATGCGCCCAACACATGCGGGAAGGGGGAGCAAGCAGGCGGGCAGAAACTCCCCAGGGGAGCCGGGGCAGCCCCCAGGATCAACCCGGCTCTGGGTCCTGCCTGAGATGGACCAAAGCCCAGGCCTGTTTTGAATGTCCCTGCGTTTCTGATTCTGCATTTCTTAAACCCATTCGTACCTTAGAGAGCAAAAGATTTTTGCATCGCTCATCAGGAATGCGAACCCCGGAGCCTTGCTGCTCCTTGCCCCAGGGGTGATCCTACTTTCTGCCATGTCATCTTCTCTCCCCACATTGCCTTAAGCCCTGGTCTCCAACAGCATCTGCCGCCCTCCTCCTCAGCTGGCACCTGAGATCTCTCCATATATATATATATATATATTTATTATCTAATTCCCCTTCTGGGAGTAAAATTCTCCCACTCGCCCAAAATCTGCCCATTCCACCTGGGAAACACCAGCAGCCATGCTTCTCCTTGCAGTCACAGCAGGGTTGGATTTGTCTGACTTGGTAACAGTTCCTTAATGTTCACCACGGTAATGTAACAAACTTATTAATAAGCACAGGTAGCTCTAATTTTACAACTCCTCAACCTCACCCTGGGCTGCCTGCTTCAGACACAGCGGTCTTTTGTTCGGGAGGGAATTCTGATTCATTCCCCATTAGCATTTTTATGGTGCCGTGCACGTTCAAAGAGCCACGCGAGTGGCTTAAGAGGTTAATGTGAACCTTGGGTTAATTCCTAATTTTGTTAGTTAGTTACTCAGCACAATACTCGCATGAATCCGGCTGACTGCATCTCGCCACGTTGGGAAACACATGCTGAAATCAGCAGGGAGCGCAGAAAACAAGCGTGGGAGTAGGATATTAAGTATTTTGCTGGCCCGCTAAGGTAGAAGCTGAGCACCTTAAATGCATTTATTTTCCCATTTCCTTTGAGGGCAGCGTTACCCCGCTCCACAGATGTGGAACTGAAGCACCGAGGAGGCTGTGCCCGGCATCCCTGCAGGCCTGGGAGCGTGAGGACGGGGCTATGAGCCCTGCAAGGGGCACTTGAGATGCATCCAGCCCCTACCTGCAGCCGCCTCTTTCTTGTGGGTCTATTTAAACTGTTCAAAGCAGAAAAAGCAGATTTTTTTTTTTTTCTTTGATACCTGCTGATTTAATGGCAGTGCTGGACTGCTTGAGCCTGCCCCACACTATGTTTCTCTCTGGGGATATAGCCTGGAGCAGCTGGCGCAGAAGATCACCTTGGGAATTATCTCCCTGCATGGATGCTATTGCCCTACACTTTGGGAAGAGAGCTCAGCTGAATCATAGAATCACTTTGGTTGGAAAAGACCTTTAAGATCATTGAGTCCAACCTTTAACCTAGCACTGCCATCCCACCACTAAACCCTGTCCCTAAGCACCTCATCTATCCTTCTTTTAAATCCCTCCAGGGATGGGGACTCTACCACCTCCCTGGGCAGCCCATTCCAGAGCCTGACAGCCCTTTCAGTGAAGAAGTTTTTCCTAATGTCTAGCCTAAACCTGCCCTGGCGCAACTTCAGACCATTCCCCCTCATCCTATCGTCCGTTACCAAAGGGCTGAAGGGTTTAAAGCCAAACACAAGCCCAGGCAGGCATCAGGAGACAGTGCTGAACAGCCGCTATGCATTTTTTTTTTCCTTTTGCTTACCCTTCAGAAACTTTTCCATGCAAAAAAAACCCTAGGAAGAGAACCTCCAAACCCTGCTGCGTTCCTCCCCATCTGTTCCCTTTGCCTGACCTGTGGACTCCCAGCTTTGTGCCTTTCCCTGCCGTGCCAACAGCCATCCATCCCACAACTGCTGCCTAACCTCCTCTTTTTCCAAAGGCCCCCCCCCACCTGGCAGCCCATCTGTTCCAAAAGATGTTTCATTTGCAGATGTACAAGCCTTTTCACAGCACAATACCCTTTAGATAGCATCAAATACCTTGAGGTTTTCTGGCTGGTTTTACCCCAAACCGACGCTTACGTGGCACAACATTATATACAACGTGCTGAGGTGGCCCAGGAACGAGCAAATACTCAGGAGCCCCATGCATGTCTCAACCCCCAAGTCTCTGCACTGGAATATCAAGGAGTAAACTACTGTAAAGGAGTTGAATATGTCGTGCAATAAATTGTTAGTTTATGTATATTTTAATTGCAAATCAACGCTATAATTAGCACATACGTTTCTGGGGCTGAGGAAACGCAATGTGCTTTAACAGGGAGTGTTATTAATGGACTGCAAAAGGCAATGGGGAATTGGATTATAATGTTCTTGTTTTGCAAGCTGTATGGTGAATAAATAAATTTGCTCTGGCAGCAAAATTAACTGGAATAAATGCTTCTAGCTCCATCCACCAAGAA